TCATTATCTCCTCACCGCTGTCCTAGATTTCAGTCCCTACGCATTCAAGACAAACCGGGTTTTAAAAACATTGAAATGAGAGTAATATGAAGTGTTATGAGGAACATCTAAAGGCAGATATATTGTAGTCAGTTCGTACCAACATACACTAAGTGACATATAAATCCGAACACCCAGTTTAAATGGTTTTATTTTAATAAAATTTTGTATAAGTACTTAATGAAGCATAATGAGTAAATGATAAAAATTTCAAAATGATTGCACTGCTTTAAAGCCCTTTGACCTTTAATAATGTGTGGATGCACCCTGATGTGCTACGCATTCTCCAACGCGCCTAGGCATGCTTCTGATCAGGTGGTCAATGTCCTCCTGTGGTATCTCATTCCAGGCAACCACCAACTCCTCTCGAAGTGCTTCTAGAGTCTGAGAAGGACGTTGCAAATTGAGCAATCTCCTACCCATCATATCCCACACGTGCTCAATTGGGCATAAGTCGGGAGATCTTGGTGGCCATGGTAACAATGTGACATCATTATGTTGAAAGAAGTCTATTTTGACTCTTGCAACATGTAGTCGGGCATTATCTGGTTGGAAAGTTGGGTCTGCCAGGTAAGAGATGGGGTTCTAGAACTTCGTGGATACAACGCTGCGCGTTCATGTTACCTCTGATGAAGATTAAAGCTGACCTGGAACCATAAGCTATAGCACCCCAAACCATAACTCCAACAGTGTGATGAACATGTCTTTCAACGAAAAACTGTGGATTCCTCCTTTCACCACGTCGCCTTCTAACCCTGGCATGACCATCGTGCATGCCTAAACAAAATCGAGACTCGACACTAAAGACAATACTGTTCCATTCCTGATCCCAGAGTGACCGTTGTCTGCACCACTCAAGGCGATTACGTCGGTGTTCTCGAGTTAAAGGTAGGACCCAGTGTGGCCGGTATGAAAACAAGCCAAAACTTCTCATTCGTCGGTAAACACTTCGCATGCCAATAGGTTTTCAGTGTTCTGCAAACCATTCATTTGCAATGGACCTGGTAGTGGAGAAACGGTCCCTTAAGGCAAATAATCTTAGGCGGCGATCTTCACGGTCTGTTGTTCTACGGCGGCGTCCAGTGCCCCTTGCTCTTTGCGTACGGCCTTCTCGAAGCCATGCCTGACAACACCTAACCACAGTGTCTACACTTCTTTGCACTCTAACTGCAATTGCCCGAAAAGAAAGTCCAGCTTCCCGAAGTCCCACTATACGGCCCGTATCAAACTCACTAAGTTGACGAAATCGTACAGGTCTCCGTACTCTAGGCATCGTAACCGATCGTAAAGGATGTCAAGAACCAAAATCCGCCAACGTTGATTCTTTACTGCGGCTGAAATATTCATTTCTAGAGCGTTAGTGAATTAAAAAAAAGCAGTATAAAAACCGGAATGTCCAACTGATAAGGCTGAAAATTTTTTCACTTGTTATTTACAGTAAGATAAATACATTCATCAACTTTTATTAAAATAAAACCATTTAAACTGGCTGTTCGGATTTATATGTCACTTAGTATATTTAGGTCTAAAAATGCTTCTAATCCGTTTAGAAAAATAACTAAGAACAACCCGATATGGACATGTCTGGAGGTAATGCTTAGAGAACTTGTCGGTACGACCACTCCTTCATTTCTTGAGTGTCATTGATAAATAAAAAAACCTCAAAGATAATTCACCTTTCGAGAGCGTGATTTCAAATTCGACTCTCACTATCCCAGAAACTGTAAAAGATGCAAAGTCGCCTGAATAGGGTCAAAGTTGCGTATTTAGCTAATCAACAAAATGTCGCTTATAAAGTTTCGAAATCCAAAGAGAGACGGAAAAAGACGAGTTATACCAAAATCATTTTATTTTTTTTTACTCAAAATAAATTGCACGTTAACATTACCACCTTTTCTCCTCTACAAGATGGCATAATGATTAAAATTTCAATACGACTTTTCGTTTCTGGACATCAACTTTGTTTTTTTTTATAGACGCGATATTGGATTTTTGCACAGATGAATACAGTTCTTAATTCTGCTTCCACAAATGTATTTTATGTCACTTTGTTTGAGACGAGAGGAACGGTAAGGGTCAAACTTGACACACCCTATATACTGCATGATGATCTGAAAATATTTTTAAGTAGCGTCCTTTTAAAATGCTATTGATTGGAAGCGGCACTCAAAGGCCTTTCTCATCACAAATTTACTTCAATAAATATTACCTTTAACTTTTTCCTCTTCTTTTCTTGAGCTATCGAAAATGCTGGTCGTAAGAGCTCGCCTTTTTAGCATATAAGGCTTCCTTTTCGGCTTTGAAGAGATACTACTACACGTCTCTGAAAAGAAAATTTATTTTAGATTCAAAAGGTATCGATGTAAAAAGTCTGGTGAGTACAAAAAAATTGATACTAAACCTCAAGTATCACAATTAATACTTTTCAAATTTTCAGACATTTGGTCATAAGCAAGTGGTTCTGATATTTGCTTGGTCTGATTTACAGCTCTTATTCCATCAGATCATGGGCTTTTTTATTTTTCAGGGACATAACAGCGTTAAAAACTGTCAACAAATGTGCTTACTGATATTTTTTCATCTATCTTGAATTTATCATAATCGGCTTTTTATATACTAAGTGACATAAATCCGAACACCCAGTTTAAATGGTTTTATTTTAATAAAAGTTGGTGAATGTATTTATCTTACTGTAAATAACATGTGAAAAAATTTTCAGCCTTATCAGTTGGACATTCCGGTTTTTATACTACTTTTTTTTTAATTCACTAACGCTCTAAAAATGAATATTTCAGCCGCAGTAAAGAATCAACGTTGACGGATTTTAGTTCTTGACATCCTTTACGATCGGTTACGATGCCTAGAGTACGGAGACCTGTACGATTTCGTCTACTTAGTGAGTTTGATAGGGGCCGTATAGTGGGACTTCGGGAAGCTGGACTTTCTTTTCGGGCAATTGCAGTTAGAGTGCAAAGAAGTGTAGACACTGTGGTTAGGTGTTGTCAGGCATGGCTTCGAGAAGGCCGTACGCAAAGAGCAAGGGGCACTGGACGCCGCCGTAGAACAACAGACCGTGAAGATCGCCGCCTAAGATTATTGGCCTTAAGGGACCGTTTCTCCACTACCAGGTCCATTGCAAATGAATGGTTTGCAGAACACGGAAGACCTATTGGCATACGAAGTGTTTACCGACGAATGAGAAGTCTTGGCTTGTTTTCATACCGGCCACACTGGGTCCTCCCTTTAACTCGAGAACACCGACGTAATCGCCTTGAGTGGTGCAGACAACGGTCACTCTGGGATCAGGAATGGAACAGTATTGTCTTTAGTGACGAGTCTCGATTTTGTTTAGGCATGCACGATGGTCGTGCCAGGGTTAGAAGGCGACGTGGTGAAAGGAGGAATCCACAGTTTTTTGTTGAAAGACATGTTCATCACACTGTTGGAGTTATGACTCAATTTGCAACGTCCTCCTCAGACTCTAGAAGCACTTCGAGAGGAGTTGGTGGTTGCCTGGAATGAGCTACCACAGGAGGACATTGACCACCTGATCAGAAGTATCCCTAGGCGCGTTGGAGAATGCATAGCACATCAGGGTGCATCCACACATTATTAAAGGTCAAAGGGCTTTAAAGCAGTGCAATCATTTTGAAATTTTTATCATTTACTTATTATGCTTCATTAAGTACTTATACAAAATTTTATTAAAATAAAACCATTTAAAATGGGTGATCGGATTTAAATGTCACTTAGTATATTATTTGCCAATTTTTAACATTTGTAAAAAAATTTACAAATTCATCGCATAATCGTTGATTTGTTCAACCGTTTCTGTTTTCAATTGAGCAATTTCGTCTCCAGATCGTTGCTTTCCAGTGAAAATATCATAAACCAGTCCATAGTATTTTTTAGTCATGTGAAGTTTCTCTTACAAGTTCTATAGATTTATTTTTGTGTTGATTATAATCTTCTCTGTTTTCTTTCGTTGGCCATTATTTCATTAATTTATATGGCTAACACATTTTAAATAAAAAACACAACACACAATATTAGAAAATCAATGCATTAAAGTCACTCTGCAGGTATTGCTCATGATGATAAAACGGTTCTGCCTCTCAGTAAAATCCTGCAGTAAGGTTCAAAGCTACTTCGATATAAAATCCACAGAGCGTTATAATAATCCTTTTGTTTCCTAGACGAGAGCAACGGTAAAGACGGCCAGCGGAATATCAACCGTATTATTGGATAATGCGGGGCCAAGTACAGCGGAAAAGATTGCGGGGAGTATTTTGTAAAATGTCAAAAACACCCGCTAGCTATGGCTGTTTCTGTGCTCTTTACCGTTTCCAGACTTGAAAGTTTCATATACCGCCGTGACGAAAAATGGGATATTGATTTACTTTTGTTGTCGACTACCCGTCAGTCGAGGTTTTCTTTTGGAACAGTCAAAGTGTTGTATACTAAGTGACATATAAATCCGAACACCCAGTTTGAATGGTTTTATTTTAATAAAATTTTGTATAAGTACTTAATGAAGCATAATAAGTAAATGATTGCACTGCTTTAAAGCCCTGCACTCGCCTTTGAAACGTACATCTATCTGCCATCTCCCCGTTACTTCTTCGAGCTTCTCTATATGCATATTGCCATGCATACATGATATGTACTTTGTTTTTTGTTTCGTTGAAGGATACGGTCTTTGGAATAATACTTATATGTTCACCTTCATTGCACATGTTACTTTTGCTGGTGCACTTTTTAGTCACCCCACTACTTTTTCCTTCTACCAACATTGTCTCCACTCTCTTAAACCTTGCTTCCGTTTGCCAACAATACCTCCACCCTCTGAAACCCTGCTTCCTTCACTGCTGCACCTGTCGCAATCTCCTTCTCTCCTGTATAATCCATCTTAGTCTCGCACCACGACCCATGCCTGGAGGTATACTTCTCTGCATGGGCACCTAAATCAACTGATCCGAATTAGAACCTGCTTCATCATCCCAATTCTCTTCCACTGCCACTTCCGGCGCCGGATTCCTGACTCCATATCGGCTAACCGGTGTGGTGTCCATGGGTGTTCGGGACCCATAAGGAGGATGCTGCGGTGTGGCGTTCATAGGTGTTCTGGACTCAGATGGTTGATGCGGCGGTGTGGTGCCCATATGCGTTCTGGGCCATGGGTCGTCCCAATTTTCTTCTTCAGGATGTATTCTGTTGAATGGGCGTATAACCGCCACCGCCATCCCCTCCCACAACGTCGGCAACTTAAATGTTTGTCTTGCACTCATTGTTTGATTCGTGCTGTCTACTAACAACTGCCTCCTCTCCGAGCGCTGCACTAATTTAAACACATATTTCCAAGGTCATACCTTCTACCACTCACGACTTCAAGGTCACATTTCAAGGTCATATTTCAAGGTTATGTTTCAAGGCCATATTTCGATTCAAGGTCACATTTCAAGGCTATATTTCAAGGTAATATTTCAAGGTTATATTGCAAGGCTATATTTCGATTCAAGGTCGCATTTCAAGGCTATATTTCAAGGTTGCATTTCAAGATCATATTTCAAGGCCATGTTTCAAGGTTACATTTCAACGTCACAGGTTAAATATGCGTTCAAGGTTGGCTCCCAAGGTCGACTCTCAAGGGCGTTCTAGAACAGACAAACCCTACCTACTCATGCTTCTGATCAGGTGGTCAATGTCCTCCTGTGGTATCTCATTCCAGGCAACCACCAACTCCTCTCGAAGTGCTTCTACAGTCTGAGGAGGACGTTGCAAATTGAGCAATCTTCTACCCATCATATCCCACACGTGCTCAATTGGAGATAAGTCGGGAGATCTTGGTGGCCATGGTAACAATGTGACATCATTATGTTGAAAGAAGTCTATTGTGACTCTTGCAACATGTGGTCGGACATTATCTTGTTGGAAAGTTGGATCTGCCAGGGAGTCAAGATAGGGTAAAAGATGGGGTTCTAGAACTTCGTGGATATAACGCTGCGCGTTCATGTTACCTCTGATGAAGATTAAAGGTGACCTGGAACCATAAGCTATAGCACCCCAAACCATAACTCCAACAGTGTGATGAACATGTCTTTCAACAAAAAACTGTGGATTCCTCCTTTCACCACGTCACCTTCTAACCCTGGCACGACCATCGCGCATGCCTAAACAAAATCGAGACTCGTCACTAAGTTGACGAAATCGTACAGGTCTCCGTACTCTAGGCATCGTAACTGATCGTAAAGGATGTCAAGAACCAAAATCCGCCAACGTTGATTCTTTACTGCGGCTGAAATATTCATTTTTAGAGTGTTAGTGAATTAAAAAAAAGCAGTATAAAACCGGAATGTCCAACTGATAAGGCTGAAAATTTTTTCACTTGTTATTTACAGTAAGATAAAGACATTCACCAACTTTTATTAAAATAAAACCATTTAAACTGGGTGTTCGGATTTATATGTCACTTAGTATATTTTGTATTTGGCTGATTTTTTGCACCAATGACTTTTACTTAGAGGTCTGACAATATCAGGAAGTGTCTTCGCAATCTCGTTCGATTGTTGCGTAATTGTACTTGTAATGAATATGCATATTATCAGGCGTATCATTGCGGCAAAAATTGTTCGATCAGTTTTTTTTTGGGTATTTCTGAACAAAAAAGATTATCTAGCTGTAAAAGCTCCTAACCATGGTTTATGCTTTTTAATCTGACGAAAGAATTGACGAAAGCATTTTAAAAGCAACATTTATCGTATTTGACATATGACTTATCTCTGTTTGACGACGAAATAGATGACAAAACTAAAGTAAAAATTGTAGCTGATTTAGTCAAAGGAAGTCCATCATCCAACGGTAAATACTACACTACACAGGCAGGTATATTCTAACTGAAACGAAAGTTATGGAGCACTCTGCATAGATTGAAATGATTTCAAAATATGCACTAGTAACATATCATGAAAGCACGTTTTTGATACCTTTTAAAGTTCGTTTATAAAACTACTTTCTATTTTGTATTTGAAGAAGAACATCGTGTATTCTATCGAAAACATTGTCGGCCCATCTAGTCGCCGTGTCTGCGTCCGCCATGTTGCAACACAGCGCGTGTCCAAGTTTTTCGGCTGGAGAGTTCGTTTGCTCTATAATCAAAACATTCTCCCGTTCCGACGCGCCTGAACGTGGGCGTGAACGTAATATTTTATTACATATACAATATTTTATTCTGATATGGAGTGGGCCAGATAAATTACCCTGTTTCTGGCATTCCAAATCGTTCTATTATTATTACTACACGAGCTCTCGGTACATTCAAATTTGGTGAGACTAATTTACACGATACGTACTGTAAATATTGCATTCGGCTTAAGCAGTTATCTATAAAGTTAAAGAGAAACGTGTAAGAGGTTGTTTTAGAGGCTCCGCCTTAGTGCTGTGCGGTGATATCACAAAACTTAAAACCAGATTGTCGCTTTAGTTATTCTTATCCACATCGTCTCGTTTGGTTTTTGTAGAAAAATATAAATCGACCAATATGGGAAATAGAAACATCAATTTTCCATTATTCCATATTTTTTTCACCCATTGTACATTTTCAAAGCCTTCCAATATTAGAAAAAACGTCTAATACAGAACACTGAAAAGCAATCGTTCTCTCTAGGGGATGAAACTGCAGCATATGTCTAGTGCAAAGTCTCTGTCCTGTAAAGTATGCAATTTAGGTTAAATTAGACAAGACAATCTTTTTGGATTGATTTAAAGCTTCTTCCAGATTGCTTTCGTATGGAAACCGGGACACTTCTGGAGCCGAAGTCAGGTTAGGGAACATATGCACGTAATAAAGAGAAATCTTCCACTTGTAGCTTCCTTCTGAATACTGATAAAGAGCAGTATCTTATTTTTTAAATTGTTCGCATTGACCAAAAAATAGCGACAAGTAGGTTGACGGAACGCTGTAATCAGTTCATAATCAATGATTAAAGGACTCCGCACAAAATTTATGGAAAATTGGTCCCAATTGATTTAGTTAAAAAATGAGGATGATATGTTTTTCGCTTTCCTGAACAAAAGTTTTCGTGAAACCAAAGCAAAAGTAATTTCGGAGATATCGGGGAGAGAGCTTGTCCGATTTGCAAAGATGGTGGAAGTGCTTCTCTGGGCGAATACTCGACAATTTTCATAGTGATGGAAGAATTTAATTTATAAACTTTTTAGGAATGAGCGAGATCAATTCAAGGCCAAGCTTATTTCTATCAGTTGTCACTGAAATGGATGTGGCACGAGTTGTTGCGGAACTCAAAAAAAGGCCCAAGGCCAGAAAAGTCGTGATAGTTTACATGTCTTCATTTGTATTTTCTTTACAGAAGCTTTATTTGAATGTTTTTCTCGGCGAATTTGAAAATCGATATTGCAGGCACATTCGCCATTTTTGCAAATTGCCCAACTTCATCCTCGTATTTCTAATAAACTAATAATAGGATTGCTTTGGTCCCTGAAGAACTTTTGTTCAGAAAGACGAGAAATACATCATATTGAATTCCTAGACAAATCGACTGAGATCAATTCTCCACATATTTTGTGCGAGGTCCTTTCCATTAGTTAGCCCATGCGAGAAAAAAAGTTAGCTATGAACATTGAATGCCTCGAGTCAGTCAGAGAGACCTATACAATTAGTGCATAGTCCGCATCTACTTTACAATATTGCGATCTAGAAATTGTTCGCCTACCCTGATGACAGTACGGACTATCTGGCAACGAAAAGCCTATTGGATCTTAAAATATGCATTTAGTATAATTTCGTGTGCAGTTTTGAGATATTTAAGATTTGACACGCCCTGTGAAAATCTACGAACAACGAAGTTTTGGAGGCAGATGCATTTCTGCTCTTCAAATTTCCAAAATGTTCGAAGCATTCAAGATATTCCTAATTCATAAATTCTTGTCAATCAAATTCTATATCTTTAAAACGTTCGATATCTCCAATACTTATTATTTTCAAGTTTTTGTTAAATTTTTCATAGCTGAGATCGCAGGTAATTAAAATTATTAAAAACAAACTTACCACTTGGAATTTTGATGGCAACACCGAGGTTGAGTGCCTGCAATTTCGCAATGGCCACTTTCTGCAATACTTTTCGCTCCACGTCAGTCAGATTCAACAGGGAGCTATCATTTAATATCACTTGCCTTCCTGTCACATTGGTCCAAACACAGCCTCCCTAGAAAATTAAACTAGTTTTACATTTCTGTGTTTATCATTTTCATGAACTTCACAAGACAACGTAACTCAAAGAATGCTTTCGTACTAAAACAGATAGACGGATGCCTAACACCAAAGCACCGCGGCTGCCATGAAGTGCTTAAAGAAACTCTTTTCCGATGTTTGAACTGCTCAAGGTTTTAAAAGTCGTCCATCATAAGTCAGTGGGGTTTTGAAAGAAGGCTCTGTGTGCCTTCATTTGTTGAACCAGCCTTCGGTCACACACTTCAAGTGTATATTCCTCCATTCCAATGTGCATAATTCATAATTCCTCGACTACGCGCTACTTTCCGATTTTTCCGGTTTTTTCCCGGCTCGCGAAACGTCCGGAAGGAAAGCGATACCGTTTCGGAAACTAGAAACTTGGCGCTTTACGGGCGAGTGAGAGCCGGCGCAGTGAGAGAAAGAAACGCGATCTAAAACGGCCGGTAAAGTCGAAAATCTTTCGTTTTTTCGCGCTGTTCGACGTTCAACATCGATCTCCTCCGAAGATGAAGGAGCTACGAACCTGACGATTTTTGCGTGGGAAAGCCCGGACATCGGACTCAAAGATAGCGTCTTTCTTTTTTTTCTTTATCCCCTTTCGTTCGAAAATTTCGATTTTTTTGAATTCCTCGACTACGCGCTACTTTCCGATTTTTCCGGTTTTTTTCCCGGTTCGCGAAACGTCCGGAAGGAAAGCGATACCGTTTCGGAAACTAGAAACTCGGCGATTTACGGGCGAGCGAGTTCCGGCGCGGTGAGAGGAAGAAACGCGATCGAAAACGGCCAGTAAAGTCGAAAATCCACCGTTTTTTCGCGCTGTTCGACGTTCAACATCGATCTCCTCCGAAGATAAAGGAGCTACGAACCTGGCGATTTTTGCGTGAGATAACCCGGACATCGGACTCAAAGATAGCGTCTTTCTTTTTTTTCTTTATCCCTTTTCGTTCGAAAATTTCGATGTTTTTGAATTCCTCGACTACGCGCTACTTTCCGATTTTTCCGGTTTTTTTCCCGGTTCGCGAAACGTCCGGAAGGAAAGCGATACCGTTTCGGAAACTAGAAACTCGGTGCTTTACGGACGAGCAAGAGCCGGCGCTGTGAGAGGAAGAAACGCGGTCGAAAACGGTCGGTAAAGTCGAAAATCCACCGTTTTTTTCGCGCTGTTCGACGTTCAACATCGATCTCCTCCGAAGATAAAGGCGCTACGAACCTGACGATTTTTGCGTGAGAAAGCCCGGACATCGGACTCAAAGATAGCGTCTTTCTTTTTTTTCTTTATCCCCTTTCGTTCGAAAATTTCGATTTTTTTGAATTCCTCGACAACGCGCTACTTTCCGATTTTTCCGGTTTTTTTCCCGGTTCGCGAAACGTTCGGAAGGAAAGCGATACCGTTTCGGAAACTAGAAACTCGGCGCTTTACGGACGAGCGAGAGCCGCCGCGGTGAGAGGAAGAAACTTGATCGAAAACGGTCGGTAAGTTCGAAAAACTGGAAGATTTTCGTGCTGTTCGACGTTCACTTTCGATCTCCTCTTAAGATAAAGGAGCTACGAACCTGACGATTTTTGCGTGAGAAAACTCGGACATCGGACTCAAAGATAGCGTCTTTCGTTTTTTTGTTTATCCCTTTTCGTTCGAAAATTTCGATTTTTTTGAATTCCTCGACTACGTGCTACTTTCCGATTTTTCCGGTTTTTTTCCGGGTTCGCGAAACGTTCGGAAGGAAAGCGATACCATTTCGGAAACTAGGAACTCGGCGCTTTACGGGCGAGCAAGAGCGTGCGCTGTGAGAGGAAGAAACGCGATCGTAAACGGCCGGTAAAGTCGAAAATCTTTCGTTTTTTCGCGCTGTTCGACGTTCAACATCGATCTCCTCCGAAGATAAAGGAGCTACGAACCTGAAGATTTTTGCGTGAGATAACCCGGACATCGGACTCAAAGATAGCGTCTTTCTTTATTTTCTTTATCCCCTTTCGTTCGAAAATTTAGACTTTTTTGAATTCCTCGACTACGCGCTACTTTCCGATTTTTCCGGTTTTTTTCCCGGTTCGCGAAACGTCCGGAAGGAAAGCGATACCGTTTCGGAAACTAGAAACTCGGCGCTTTACGGGCGAGCGAGTTCCGGCGCGGTGAGAGGAAGAAACGCGATCGAAAACGGCCAGTAAAGTCGAAAATCCACCGTTTTTTCGCGCTGTTCGACGTTCAACATCGATCTCCTCCGAAGATAAAGGAGCTACGAACCTGAAGATTTTTGCGTGAGATAACCCGGACATCGGAGTCAAAGATAGCGTCTTTCTTTTTTTTCTTTATCCCTTTTCGTTCGAAAATTTCGATGTTTTTGAATTCCTCGACTACGCGCTACTTTCCGATTTTTCCGGTTTTTTTCCCGGTTCGCGAAACGTTCGGAAGGAAAGTGATACCGTTTCGGAAGCTAGAAACTCGCCGCTTGACGGGCGAGCGAGAGCCGGCGCGGTGAGAGGAAGAAACGTGATCGAAAACGGTCGGTAAAGTCGAAAAACTGGTAGATTTTCGTGCTGTTCGACGTTCACTCTCGATCTCCTCCTAAGATAAAGGAGCTACGAACCTGGCGATTTTTGCGTGAGATAACCCGGACATCGGACTCAAAGATAGCGTCTTTCTTTATTTTCTTTATCCCCTTTCGTTCGAAAATTTTGATTTTTTTGAATTCCTCGACTACGCGCTACTTTCCGATTTTTCCGGTTTTTTCCCGGTTCGCGAAACGTTCGGAAGGAAAGCGATACCGTTTCGGAAACTAGGAACTCGGCGCTTTACGGGCGAGCAAGAGCGTGCGCTGTGAGAGGAAGAAACGCGATCGTAAACGGCCGGTAAAGTCGAAAATCTTTCGTTTTTTCGCGCTGTTCGACGTTCAACATCGATCTCCTTCGAAGATAAAGGAGCTACGAACCTGAAGATTTTTGCGTGAGAAAGCCCGGACATCGGACTCAAAGATAGCGTCTTTCTTTTTTTTTCTTTATCCCCTTTCGTTCGAAATATCGATTTTTTTGAATTCCTCGACTACGCGCTACTTTCCGATTTTTCCGGTTTTTTTCCCGGTTCGCGAAACGTCCGTAAGGAAAGCGATACCGTTTCGGAAACCAGAAACTCGGCAGTTTACGGAAGAGCGAGAGCTGCCGCGGTAGGAGGAACAAACGCGATCGAAAACGGTCGGTAAAGTTGAAAAACTGGTAGATTTTCGTGCCGTTCGACGTTCACTCTCGATCTCCTCCTAAGATAAAGGAGCTACAAACCTGACGATTTTTGCGTGAGAAAACCCGGACGTCAGACTCAAAGATAGCGTCTTTCTTTTTTTCTTTATCCCCTTTCGTTCGAAAATTTCGATTTTTTTGAATTCCTCGACAACGCGTTACTTTCCGATTTTTCCGGTTTTTTTCCCGATTCGCGAAACGTTCGGAAGGAAAGCGATACCGTTTCAGAAACTAGAAACTCTGCGCTTTACGGACGAGCGAGAGCGCCGCGGTGAGAAGTAGAAACGCGATCGAAAACGGTCGGTAAAGTCGAAAAACTGGTAGATTTTCGTGCTGTTCGACGTTCACTCTCGATCTCCTCCGAAGATAAAGGAGCTACGAACCTGACGATTCTTGCGTTAGAAAGCCCGGACGTCGGACTCAAAGATAGCGTCTGTCTTTTTTTTCTTTATCCCCTTTTATTCGAAAATTTCGATTTTTTTGAATTCCTCGACTACGCGCTACTTTCCGATTTTTCCGGTTTTTTTCTCGGTTCTCGAAACGTCCGGAAGGAAAGCGATACCGTTTCGGAAACTAGAAACTCGGCGCTTTACGGATGAGTGAGAGCCGGCGCGGTGAGAGGAAGAAACGCGATCGAAAACGGCCGGTAAAGTCGAAAATCTACCGTTTTTTTCGCATTGTTCGACGTTCAACATCGATCTCCTCCGAAGATAAAGGAGCTACGAACCTGACGATTTTTGCGTAAGAAAGCCCGGACATCGGACTCAAAGATAGCGTCTTTCTTTTTTTGTTTATCCCTTTTCGTTCGAAAGTTTCGATTTTTTAAAGTTGCTCGACTACGCGCTACTTTCCGATTTTTCCGGTTTTTTTCCCGGTTCGCGAAACGTCCGTAAGGAAAGCGATACCGTTTCGGAAACCAGAAACTCGGCGGTTTACGGAAGAGCGAGAGCTGCCGCGGTAGGAGGAACAAACGCGATCGAAAACGGTCGGTAAAGTTGAAAAACTGGTAGATTTTCGTGCCGTTCGACGTTCACTCTCGATCTCCTCCTAAGATAAAGGAGCTACAAACCTGACGATTTTTGCGTGAGAAAACCCGGACGTCAGACTCAAAGATAGCGTCTTTCTTTTTTTCTTTATCCCCTTTCGTTCGAAAATTTCGATTTTTTTTGAATTCCTCGACAACGCGTTACTTTCCGATTTTTCCGGTTTTTTTCCCGATTCGCGAAACGTTCGGAAGGAAAGCGATACCGTTTCAGAAACTAGAAACTCTGCGCTTTATGGACGAGCGAGAGCGCCGCGGTGAGAAGTAGAAACGCGATCGAAAACGGTCGGTAAAGTCGAAAAACTGGTAGATTTTCGTGCTGTTCGACGTTCACTCTCGATCTCCTCCGAAGATAAAGGAGCTACGAACCTGACGATTCTTGCGTTAGAAAGCCCGGACGTCGGACTCAAAGATAGCGTCTGTCTTTTTTTTCTTTATCCCCTTTTATTCGAAAATTTCGATTTTTTTGAATTCCTCGACTACGCGCTACTTTCCGATTTTTCCGGTTTTTTTCTCGGTTCTCGAAACGTCCGGAAGGAAAGCGATACCGTTTCGGAAACTAGAAACTCGGCGCTTTACGGATGAGTGAGAGCCGGCGCGGTGAGAGGAAGAAACGCGATCGAAAACGGCCGGTAAAGTCGAAAATCTACCGTTTTTTTCGCATTGTTCGACGTTCAACATCGATCTCCTCCGAAGATAAAGGAGCT